TTTTTTTTTTTCACTTACCAGGGACCCATTTGAATACTTTCAGCGTACAACTGCTAGGACCCACGTTAACCCATTTCTTTTCCCTGCGAAAGGAAAAAAAGGTTTCGATATCGTCGGGAAAAGGTAAGAATCTGAGACAGACTACAGGAACACTTCCGTTATCGCGCGATCAGGTCTTTTGTGTGAAAAATGAATGAAGGCTGAAATGGGAAAAATTCAAAAACTTCCGACCGATTGCAGAGATCTACGCTCACGTGTACATGGTTTTGATAATTACCATTTCCTTACGCGCTCCACTGAAAGCATAACCCGTTTGACATCATCTTTAGCTCGGCTTCGAGTTTCGAGGCGCATTATGCCGCTCCTGTTCATCATGGCGGCGGTGATGTTAGTCAAAAAATTCCCGGATGTGTATACCCAAATATGGGAAATACCGGGACGAGTGCGGGATTCCACTCGATAAAATTCTCGAGAGTAGGAAGATGTTTGGGTCTGCTACCCAATTTGCAGACGTCTCTGATTTTTCAATTTCATGTGTAAAAGAATCACTGGGAATATCTGAATCACAGCTGGCTATCTGAAGAGTTAACTTTTTAAAGGTCAAGTGGTGTTAATTTCCTTTAAAAGCTGTACATCTAAGGTCAATGACCATGGTACTCCTTAAAGGATGTTTACAGATAGTTACTAACGTAGAGTAAAAACTGGGTTAAAGAATATCCATGGGAATCGAGCCCAGCTAGGGTCTCCTTTCGAAAGGACCATGCAATGACAAAAAAAGCCAGACTCCTTCTCCAGACATTTTTTATTGGTTATGATATCTGTCTCAAATTATATGCATGTCTCACGTTAGGTAGACACCTCCGATCGTAATAGTCTAGTTACGAATTAAAAATTACCGCTGAATACAAACATTAACGACACATTAATACAGGGTTAGCCTCGACGTGAAGTAACATATTCTGAAATTCTGGCAAGTAAGTGTTTGAAATTTGAATATACACAATAGACAGAGTAATAAACAGGTCTTTTTCTCGTTGGAATTTGTGAATATATTACTTCAGATGGAGGCTAAGGCTGTAAAAAATGCGTCTTCACTTCTTTAACTCAGCGGTCATAGCGAACTCAAAAATGGACTATTCCGTTGCATAGGTATGTTGCGTGGCAGACGCAAAAAAGGGGACGGAATGGGGATAAAAGGCCCACCCCCTGCCACGCCTGCCATGAAGGATTTCTCTATTGCATGGGTGTTGAATCGTTGACGTTTGCCAGGAGACGAGCACGCAGGCTTTACGTCAGGGTCCGTCTGGCTGAAGTTCGTGTATGGTCTCCTGATGCACCTCACGTGCAAATCAACGGTCGGTGGGATCCTGATGGTCATTGTGAGAGTGATAAATCTCCCAAAAACAATGGTTACTGAAATGAAAACTAGCTCTATTTAAACAGGATGCACATTATACAGCAAAGCATAGTTGTACTTTTACCCAGCTTATCGCTTTCAAAAGTGTGGCCTATTTCTGTTTCATTGTCATACCGGTCAAACCTGCACACTGTATTCGCCTCACACCCCTTGCGTGCCCCAAAAATTTCACGCCATTTGTGACGTCATATTCCATGATAAAATAAAACATGGCGTCGCGTATTTTGCCCCTGCATTCAAAACAATGTTTCGCTCATTCGTCTTCCACTTGTAGGGTTAAGTTACTCTTCCGAATGTATACTTCATCCTGGACTACAAGAATTATGTCAGAGTACGCTAAGGATGTGAATGGGGTAGAGCCAAAGGAAACAGAAGCTACAAACCATTTTATCACTTCGTCAGACACTAAACACGTTGAGAGTAAATGGAAACGTAAACTGCTAAATACTCAGTATCGCTGTGATGCGATTTTTGTTCTTGGTCCAATGGGAGCAGGAAAAACAACTGTAATTAACAACGAATTCAAAACGCATCCAGTCTTCGGAAACTATGCTTACGTTGATACCGATGAAATTATGGGCATGCTGAAGGGCTTTGAGTCAAACAAAGTTGAAGAATATTATCCTATTGCACGAAACATCGCGATTCATCTCACTGACTGGATTTTGGAACAAAAGATCAGCTTTGTGGCGGAAGGCACCTGTGTGAAATACATGGAACTCATTGACTACATGCACCGTTTAAAATCCGTTGGTTATCATGTCAGGGTGAAACGCTTACCTCGAGTGCCATTAGAGACTGTCCTTGAAAGATCAAAACTAAGAAAAAATCGAGTCGTTCCTGATCACGTAGTAAAGTCTATTTTAGAGGGGTCTAAACTTGGACTGGACGAGTTGTACGAGTTTAACAAGAGAGAGTTTCTCTTCGAGGATATGGATTTACACGAGCGAAATGAGGAGCTCAGACCTTCATTTGAAATGCCCACACCAACCGCCTAATACCTCGCGCGTGGTTTGGGGGAAGTGCTTCATTAATTTGAAAGTGACAGTGATCTGATTGGAGGCAAAATTGACCATTAAGAGTTAATTATAGTAGAACCTCGTTAATACGGTCACCAGTGGGCCAAAAAAAGGGCCGTAATAACGAGGAGACTGTATTAATGAGGGTTTCTTTACAAGAAAATGTATGGTCGTATTTGCCAGGCAGCCAAAAAAGTTGGCCATAATAACGAGGTGACCATATTACTGAAGTGGCCCTAAGGTGGAGTTCCACTGTACTGGTAAGATCATTTGAATTATTGCCTTTTCAACTGGTATACAACTTTTGTAACTCATCAAAGTTTCCCTTTTTTAAGCCTCTTCTGATACACAAATAGAGTGGTTCAACACCTGGGTGCACATCAGTACAGTCTGACCAAGCTTGTGCCCAAGAATCACAATCAATGACTAGCCTAAAATGTCATCTAAATGAGTACCCTTGCATCTTAGATGTATCTTATGTAGTGTAACTACAGTGGAACCCTCTAGTCACCTCATTTTACAGCCATCTTTTTATTATGACCTCCTTTATTGGAGCAAAAGGCCCATTGCACATTTCTTTCAACATTGAAACCCCTTAATAAGGCCTCCTCAATAATGCAGCCAATGGCCCTAGTCTGAATTTCAAAACTGGTTATTTTGCATATTGAGGAGAAGCCCATCTCGTTTTTGGTATTTCACTATAGTATTTGCAATTGCAGTCATTGCTGTCATAAGTAAGTAAGTAACTTTCATTTATGTGGTCAAATATGCTTAGCTCATTTACAGTATTGCAAGTATCGCTATTTTGCAGATATTGCCACAAATAAAAATTGTGAAAAGAGGAAAACAAAAACACTAGGATACAATTTTTAAAATATCTATCTATGATATAAAAGTCTGTGTAATAGTTTCACCCGATCTTATATCTGTCTTATGTCACTGTTTCAAGGCCATGTTGCTTGTCTGAATTTTACCCTAACAGGGCCTCAATAGAAAGCCCAACATGTACATGTTTCTTCTATGGACATTCAAACCAAGTGATGTCAGTAGTGTAATAGCACCCCTACACAAAATAGAAAACATCAAAGGTACAGATATAAAATATCACCATCTTTGCAGATATAGCCAAATTCCTATGGCCCATAATTTTATGCAACTGTCTTAAAGGGGTTTCACTGTAGTTGGAAAAAAATTAACTTATTGTTTTCCCCATTGTTCAACCGTATCAGTCCTTGCAACTTTCTTTTTAAAATTTTCATATGTTCTTTCCTTGGTTAAAAAATAGGCTCCAAAGTTCATTTTTGATCAATAATGAATTGTTATTTTAACATTCTTTAATTATTTTTGTGGGAGTGTCAAAAACATTGTCTAGCAATTATTATTACTCAGTGTTGGCTTAGTATATAGCAACAACAATAGTCTGCAGAGCAGGCATTTTTTCTTAAAGCTTGACTCACCCCAACTTTCGATCAATTGAAAGTCCAAGTCAATCGCACAGCATGAATACACCTGCTTTGCAGGAAACAATAGCAAGGACAACATGCATTTTTCTAAAGAAAAAACTGAAATTGTTGTTAAGGCAATCAGTTCACACACTGAGGATTTCCATTTGAATATTGTCACTTGCATATACTATTTGTCCCAATTTGTTTTGTTAGGGGACTAAATAATACTTTAGCAACTTAGTTGATAACAAGACATAGTATATTAATACACAGCAGCATTAACATTTCCCCTTTGGGAATTACTATTTTTTCACACAAGTAACTATCTATAATCCACCATGTGTAAAGTTAGTACACTAACTTCCATTTCTTACTGAAAACAGTAATGTCACTGTAGCAGTGGAAGGACATTGCAAAAAATAATAAATTTGTAATGAAAATAAGAAATCCATTTGAATCAAAACGACTTAGTTATTGTAAGCAATATTGAAACATTTTGTAATCAGTACCAAACACCATAAAATATTATTGTGCAAGAGCATTTTATGGTGTCTGGATTTTGTGTGTCCCTTTTGAAATGTCTTTCATTTGTTGTCTGCTGCATAATATTTATTGAGAGACAAAAACATAAGTGATAAATTGTACAGTATTGTCACATAATGCTTTTTAATAAATTTAGTCCTATAAAAAACAGGTCTGAAGTCTTTTATCCGTTGTCTATCAATTTGTTTTTGATAGAATGCAAGTATAATTTATGCTGTGTGCAAAGGTTGATCAGCATGGATTTTTGCAAAGTAGTTGAGTGCTTTGGTTTTTTTTCCGGTGTGGGGTCCGGGAGAGGATATTAGCTTCTATCGTTGCCATTGTTTCATTGAGTAATTGCCATATAAGCATAAACGAGATGTGATGCTGTTTTTCTCTTCTAACTGGAAAGTTCTCAACAAATTAAATCTAAGACTAAATGGGAAAGATCCTGACTAGTTGTTCCTGTTTCTTTTATTCATTATTGTTGTTTTTGTTGTTTGTTTGGCCTCTTTCTCTTTCTCTCTCAAATAAGTACAAAGTGTATACTCTAAAAGTACCACAAATTTAGGCGTCATTGGGGATGGTAGTCTGGAAAGTCAGCTGTCTCCACCCAGTAGCCCGTTTCAAACTGGGGGAACTGGAGCAGCTCAATCGTGACAAGGAGCTTACGTCAAATCTAAAAACGCTGTTCTCGTCTAATAAAAGGTTTGCGCAAAACCCAGATGCAGAGAAAATACATTTAAACGGATTATTTAAGTGATGCATACAATTAAAACACCATTTAATCTACCAGAAGAGCATGCAAATGGCAAATTAATTTTCCCTACATTGGTCTACTACGCTTTATTTAACCGACGATCTTGCTGCCATTCTCGGTCTCCAATAAAAAAAAGCTGGCTGGTAACCGTAGCTGTGGAGCTAAGGAGCTTTCAAAACACTTTGCGATCCAGGAACGTGACGTTAACGTGTAGATCTCGATCTAGATGTCAGTCCAGTTATCAGGATAACCTGTTCACTAATTTCTAAGGAGGAGATACACCTATCATCAGCAGTGTTTCTTTCTAACGGATATCAGAAAAACAGCCCCTAGAAGAGAACCATGGAAGAGTTCAAGCCGACTTCCTTTCTACCCAGCGTTAGAACCTCGTCGCCTTTGCCTAGAACAAGGAGGCGTTCATGCTATATATATTCAAGTCCGACACACCACCTAAGTTACACTTAGTATGACCTAAGGATACCGTCAACCAGCTGAACAAACGTGTGGTCTACACGGTTCCAAGAGGGTGCGGCAAAGTTTGCATCTTCGCCTTTACCTAAAACAATAAGGCGTTCATGCTATCTTCAAGTAGCTTCACGTCCGATACACTAACGTTGATTTGGTTAGACCCAAGGATACTGTCTATCCGGCAAAACAAAGGCGTGGTCTATAGGATTCCAAGAGGGTGCGGAAAGTTTACATAAGGTTTTACATCCAGAGGTCTTAAATCCAGAGATCTTACTTCCAGGGGACATACATCAAGGAATCTTACATCCAGAGGTTTTACATCCAGGGGTCTTAAATCTAAAAGTCTTACATCCAGGGGTCTACATCCAGAAGTCTTACATCCAGAGGTCTCACATCCAGCGGTCTTACATCGAGAAGTCTTACATACAGGGGTCTTACAACCAGATGTATTACACCCAGGGGTCGTTCATCAAGAGGTCAACATCTAGGGGTCCTACATCTAGGGGCTTTACATCCAAGGGTATCATGAGATCTTATATCCACAGGTCTTACATCCAGGGGTCTTTTATCCAGGTTCTTACATCCGGGGGTCTTATAGCCAAAGGTTTTACATCCAGGCGTATTACATCTAGAGGTCTTACATTGAAAAGTCTTACATCTAGCGGTTTAACATCCGGGGGTCTTACATCCAGTGGTCTTACATTCAGAGGTCTTATATCTAGGGGTCTTACATCCAGTGGTCTTGCATCGAGAGGTGTTACATCCACGACTTACCATGTTTATATTTTAAACATCGTCATGGTAAACGAAAACTTTTTACTTATTGCATCCACAAGGATTATCGCAACTATTTTCCCAACAAAATGATATACAATTACAAAACGTTGAATTAAATTGGTATACTAAATCATGACGGACTTAGGCTACAAAAAGTAGTACAATGATGTATACCTGCTAAGGGGCCAACCATTTGACTTTGATGGGAAGGTGGGGGTATGGATGATTTCAGAAAACAATATCCTGCAGACTGATTTCGAGGGAAAAAACATTCTTGAAAGGAAATACCTGGCAAAAAAATTATTACACTGAAAAATTATCTTTCACGGCGTATAATGCTGGGAATAAATCCTACTCCGTTGTATAGCAGGAAAAAAGTTCTATCACGATAGGTTTGGGGAAAAAATTCTTACGCAAAACACATCACCCAGACCCCCGCCTAAAAGTGAAATTGTTGGTCCCAAAATAGTGGTCTTCTTTTCTTTTTTAACACCTATGGTACTCATCGGGTTTGTCTACAAGTGATTACTTTTGTTGCGCAATCAGAAAGACCTTTAAATTCACGCGTCATAGCGCGAGCGTTTTCAGCGCGCGCTGAACTGATGTCACAAATGATAAGGAGGACATAAAAAAAAGAAAAAGGGTAGTCTCTGCTTTTTTTCTAACAGAATGGCGGTAAATGTGACCGAGATTTTAAGGCGAACCCTGGGGTGTGAAAAATTTCCCGAAATGCTTCCTTATATGAAGCGCATTGAAGAAACAGAAGAGCGTTTCACAACCGTAGGGCGCTTGGTTGAAAAGTACTCGGCAGGGCTCGATAAACTCTCACAGAAAGGAGAAAACCTTTGTTCGTCCTTAGGCGCTTGCAGCTCTCACTTACTCAGTGGTGACGAAGTGAAAAATCATTTATCAAACTACGCGATGCACTTGTCTGCAGTTCAGCAGCAGCGGACGGAGTTGAAAGATGTTCTTCGGGATAAAATTTCAGGTGATATCTTATCCTACGAAGGGAAGTGTCAAGAAATGAGGAAAAGTGTTAAGATTTGTGAAGATGCTTTACGGAAGAAGAATCACAGGCTTCATGAGCTAGCAAAGGCGAAAAATAAAGTTCCGTTAGATCCCCGAAGGATCAATGCTGCCAATATTAAGTTTGAGCAAAGCCGATATCAGGCACGCCGTTGTGAGGAAGATATCAAAGTGGAAATGCTGCATTTTGAGAGAAAAAAACTGGAAGATTTTAATCGTGTGTTGGCTGACTTCCTCCTCGCGGAGATGCGCTTCCATGCAGAAGCTCTTCAAGAGTACACCGCTGCTTTCAGATGCCTGCCGTTACTCTCTGCGGGAAGTAATGATACTGGTGATGATCATGATGACGGTGACTCTTCTTGCTTAAAATCTCGTGAGAGGAAGATTGCATTTCACAGTTCTGATGAAGTATTCCCAGTAAAATCGCAGAAATCTGGCAGAGCAAAAAAATCCGATTCAAGTGATTCGCCTCTCTCTATAGGAGATCTTTACTGAGTAAATACAAGGTGTATGATTTACTGATCAAACTTCATACTAAGAGCCTCGTATTCAACACACTAACGACAAGCTAGTAAAAATGTTGGACTGAATTATTAATCCGTGATTATGTAGATCTTCATACTTGAAGGCACTTGGATAACTCCTACTTTTATCCATATAAAACTTAATTACAAGTGACTTATGGCATTACATGCTGGGGCAGTGCTTGTAAGACTAGGTTAAAAAAGATTAAACCTTATCAGGATAAATGTGTTTTGTAGCATGTTATTTCATAACAGGGATAAAACTATGCCATACTTCAATCTTTTACAAATTCTTATACTTGAAACATCAACAAATTCAAAGTACCCCTATTTACAAAATGACAAATGTCGCACTCAGCAAACATCCCGGTTTCGGGTTATATTCTCTGGAACCCTTATCTTAGCCTCTGAAATCCATAGCTTTAACACCATATTTGTCACCAACCTCACCTTTCATAGACCTGCAAGGATAAGTAATAATTTTGGAGTTGCCACTTGATGCCTTCAAGGCTATGGCATCAGTCATTATCATTAAGTATTCAAAAGCATCTTTAATTTACATGTTTCGTGGTTAAAAACCCTGCCGGTGATTCTGAACCTTCCCCCACAATATCGTTCAGAAACTCCATTCCAAGAGTTTAGCTATGGTGTGCAGTGTTCGTAAGAAGATTAAGTGACAGGGTACCAGCAGTTTGTCATCAAAAATGGTATCTAAAAGGGTAAGCAGTTGAACCATGGGGTAAAGCCTCCCTGTATAAAACTTTGTTGATTACCTCCGTACCAGGAAACGACTTTTCTAAATATTTCTATAAAAAACTGTTACTGAATGAACAGTAAAAAAAAATTGTGTATTATTGGTATGCTATGAACCTCAATACCCTCACATTGGAACAATTATGTTCAAAACTGGTAAAGTTCTCTAAGACGTACAGGCTAGCTCTTTTTAGGAGGGATAAGGACGTTATTATTTGCAAGAGGACGTTATCTTTTTAAATATTTGATATTTAAAAGAACTGAATGCATTTTTAGGTAAAATAATTCGGTAATATTGTTTTTTTTAACTTTTCCTTATAACACCTGCAGCCTTCTAAAGCGAGAAAGGTCTGACACAACTGCGAAAGAACAGAGCTCCTGATCAGTTTCTTTGAAACATTTAAAAGAAGAAGTATGGTTATGGAATTCTTTCCAAGCTACTCAAACATTATGTTCACTATCTATTATGCTAAACAGTAAAGAAAAATTAGGGGACGTCTCAAATGTCCATTGTAGCATCCAGTTACCCAGTTTATCTACAAATCCGAGTTCAGCCATTTATATTTATTATTAGAGTAACTTAGTTTTCATCAAGTTATAAGGCAAAACCTGACTTACATAATTAAAACATTTGAGTGCAACGCGAATTAACATCTGTTTATTTACCAAAAGAATTCAGAACATGAAAAAACGCTCTGCTCCCTTTGATCACAGTCTAACAGTTACTACGTTCATGAAGGAGATATATAAGTGATGTTGAACAAAATGGTAAACGCTTTAATCAAATCTGTTTGAAATCCTTTTCAACATTTTCAAAATTCATTTTTATCAATTCAATGACCAGCCTTTTTAACAGATCTACGATGCATTCTAGTAAAGCCGGATATATGCTTAAAGAACGTTGGAAGAAATGTTCCAAACCGAATCTCTGAAGGGTTTGTTAAACATATACAGAGAACAGCATTAATAACAGAAATAATAAACCGAGGCCGTGAAGACACGAAAAAGCTTCAAGATCAAGAACAGTACCGTTTTTCTCCTTTTCGTATAGCATTAGCACTTGCTAATGATAATCCACTTTTGCTGAATATCCATACTAACGGAACAAATTCTTTTTCATTTGGAGCACATTCCTTGATACGTTGATAATGTTTCAACGCCAGGAGTACCTAGTATATAATTTCTCCTGGCTTAAAATAACATTGCTAACTGTAGTGAAAAGGTTGAAATGTGGAGGCCTTATGCGTAACGGAGGGTCCGTCAGTACCATAGGAGAAATGTACACAGAACATTGAAGAGAAATAGTATGCTTGAAGTGTAAAAATTCCAAAACTTCTCCGTGACTTGCAAACGTGCAGAAAAAAAGACGTAACGTTCTTTACACTAAAGGCACACGATCAACTTC